TGTTGCCAATGGTAAAAAAATAAAATTCCCTATTGGGAACATTCAATTATATTACGTTGGCTACATTGAAAATTTGAATTTCCCGCACGAACTAAATTAATTTCCATCTTTTTTTTTATAATAATAAATCCCACATTTGAAATTCGCACCTTAATTTATTATACAATATTGGAACTACCTTCTTTATCTCTGGGAACTCCTAGAATGTATGTCAGTTTGTGCGGGAAATTCAAAATTTCAGTGTAGCCAACGTAATATAATTGAATGTTCCCAATAGGGAATTTTATTTTTTTACCATTGGCAACATCGACCGCATTCCTTGCATATGGTCAATTATGGAAACATTATCTCAAATTTTTTTTCTTCATATATTCAATTTTGGATTAAAATAATGTAAATACATATATTTAATTAAAAACAATTAAAATAAATTAAATGAAATGGTTATTTTTATTATTATTTCAGTTTAAAATTTTTAAAATAAAAATTTGTTCATTGTATTATTAATTTTAAATAAATAAAAAAAATAGTCTCTACCATTTTACATCTATTTATAAATATCATTTAAAATTGATAACGTGGAGAATGCATTAAGATAATTGGGGTTCATGAAAATGTTTAAATTAGCTATGCTTCAGTAAATGGAAAACGTAGATTTTACTTTTAACAACAATTTTAATTAGGTCACTTTTAATTATAATTGTACATACTTATAATTTCGTTATGGTTATCTTATTTTCACAAATTAGATTAATTTGCAGCGAATAATATACACATGTTTATTAAAACAAAGTGCACGGGAGATTGGCGATAGAAAGTTAATAAAAGAAAATTTGCATTAAATTAAGTTTACAATTTTTGCGTTGAGTTGGATTTTAATTTGCTAAGATTTTGTATTTTCTTTTCCCAGGCAATGACAATGAACATGAAGATACACAGTAGTTAATATAAAATCGTAGATGACATTGGAAGAATGTCAATAGCATAAACTCACGATTATTTATTTGCATTTTAAATTTGTACCTGTTTACGAGCTATTGTAAACTGTTTATATAAATATTAATTTATATTTACTAATGTGTTTACGTTATTTCCTTGTATTTTGTATAATAATTTAATTAAGTAAAACATAATAGTATATTAAAGAACGAGGATAAGTTTGGTAATAGACGAGTGCGAGAAACCGTCTTATAAGCTTATAAGATGGATTCTTTTTACTATTTTTTCTATTTGCCAAAATTTCAAAAATAATTATCCAATTATACGTTTTGTATTGCGATTTAGGGACTTATTTCGCAGTTGTTAGTATACTATCAACTTCAAAATAAGTCCCTAAAAATTAAGGTTAGTTTAAGATTTGGTGTACCTACCAAATGTCAACTTAACCTTAATTTTTAACTCAAATAACACATCACATAATAATAAGCATATAATATCTGAAATAGTACATTATAGACCAGGCTAAGAAAGCACAAATTATCGCCGAGCATACATTGAGTGCGAGACAATCAATAAGATTTCGCCGCCGAGTTTTATGTTCTAGTTTTTTTTTCAAGCATTTAATTAAAGAATTTCTTAAGATTCTGTCACATCATTTTAAAGTTAGGTTTAACTAACTTTATTTCTATAGGGAGTTTAATAGTAATTTGACTTTTGAACTATAGTTATTAGTAAGTATACTTACTAATAAGTATTACTTCTTATTAATACTATAGTATTAATAAGAAGTAATACTTATTCTTACTGCAATGGATTTTTAAGTGCTAATAATTGGTGAAACATGCCCTACATAGACAGATTCCAGTTATTCTATTATGGAAATATTCTCTTCTGAAGTTATTTTGCGATGAAATAGTCATCTTTCTTCTCTTCTATCTTTTTTACCATAGAAATACATGCTTTTTAAGTAGACTTTGCAATCTGTGTGTGCTTTACTTAATAAACTACGAGCACTTCGACCTTTGTTTTTATCAATTACATTCGTAAGATTTTCTTCTTTCACAATCATCTTGTAAAACAGCCATAATATCAACAGGCAAAAAATTGGTTCTTTAATGGTATTTTAGCGACACAAACATGAAGAAATTGGTTGACACTTGCAAAAGGAAACATTATTTAAGTTTCACATTTAGTCAAAAAATCTAATATTCTTAAATCATATTTTTGTATTGCGCCTGGCTTTAGGAAACATTAACAGTTGTAAGTACTTCGTATGATGTTTTTTTTAATAATTTAACCGATTCGTTTAAATGAAACTGTTGGAATTAAGGCATTTTTCCAAATTTCTTGAATTTTTAAAACAACTTTGAAGAAATAAAATACATGTCTAAGAAACTGGTATTTTCCCGAATTTTTAAGCTTAAGATAATATCACCCACAATCCACACAACAAGGTCTGTTTGATCTCGTACTAAAAATACTAAAAATGGCGGCCATTTTTGTTGTTTACAATTTTAGTACATAGTACACTGTTTAAAATATCTGTGGTGTAAAGAGTAATCCTAAAATGGTGTCAAAATCCAACACCAAGTGGTGTTAATATAAACACCATGAATTATGGTTGAAAATGTTATATACAGCAAACACCAAAACGGTGTTTATCTAAAAATATTTGAGAAGTAGAAGTGCACATACACAGAAAAACAGAAATAGTTCATTTAACTATATTAATTTAGTTGACCCATGAGTATTTATTTTTGTATTTTTTTTATTTTTATCAACTGTGGGAAGGTTAATATAAACAAAGATTAGTTTGACGGTACTAAACCAGATAGTTATTTTATTTTTTTTAAATTGGTTAAATTAACCCAGAAAACTTTATTGAAACCAACCCGCTGGTTCAGTTTACTAAATATGTTGTTTGTGAAATAAGAGTTACTTCAACCTAAAGCACTCTAAACGATTAAAACAATTTGCCGTGCATTCCCGGTTGCATAGTGTGTACCGATCGCGCGGTGTGGATCACGTGATATTCTTAAATCTCGCCTCTGTTGACTTACATGAAAAGTATATAAGCTCAGGTAGTCCTTTGCTTTGGTGTGACACTACCAGTTGTTCGATACTAAAGAGACCTTTAATAGGTGGAAACAGCTGTCAATACTTGAAGTATTTTAAGTTGGTGGAACGGACTAAAAAAATATTATCTCTAGCAAGTTGAAGGTTCAATTTTCTGGAATATATACTAGTAATGCGTCAAGGAACTTCCTGTTTCCTTTTTTTCTTTAATTTGACCAAAAACACATAATATTTAACACTGAAAAGGAGTTCAATTTATACCAGGTAAAATTTATTTTAATACTGTGTGAAAGTTAAATTTACACTATTTTAGTATTTGAATTTACACCGGACCAACGAATCATATTTAACACCATTTTGGTTTTTATCGATATAAACCATGTATGGTGTTATTTTAGTGTTAAAATGGTCATAAAATTTTGAACAGTGTAATGGTTGGCAAAACTTGGTAGTTCAGTTCACTCGGATATCTCAAACTGGTATGCCGATATCTCACCAAATTTATATGAGTTTATAATGACATTAAACAAGTTCTGCGCAAGCAGAATTTAAATTAAAGTTTGGAAAAAAAATATAAGTTTTTGCTCGGCCGTACCGGCCCCATGGCGCCCCCAATAAATATAATATAAATTGAATTGGTGCAATTTATTATTTACCATAGTTTATTAACAAATTTTAAATTTCATTTGAAAAATCCAAATTATACAGATTTTATACCATTTTAAATTTTTATTATATCATTGACAAGAAATATTGTTGAATATAAACTACGATAGAAACAATTCACAAGTTTTGATAATTACGCGATTGCTTTTTAACAGCTCACGAGCACTAAGGCAACCTTAAAAATTATGACCTTAAAATGTTTACATATTAGTGAGCTGCTTTGCCAAGTTGATGTAAACTTAGTGATTATAATATATTATTAAAATTAATATTTAATATGCATAAAACAAATATGGGGAAAACCATTTTTTTGTTAGTATTGAAAACAATGTAGAGCAGAAGATTACCTTTAATCTGATTCTGCTTTTGCACACACAAGCCATATTAATAGGCATATTTTGTTATTGCGTTTTCAAAATTCCATGTTTTCGGCCCACCCTAATGTATATCCAATTAATTTTTTGAAATTTTTTATTATTTTGCTATATAATTTAATTTGATACTACAACTACATAAAATAAAACATAAAATGTTTCAACTTTCTTTGATTTTCTAAAATAATTAAAATATAATAATACATTGGTATTGATATTGATCAGAAGTAATTAATTATAACAATAGCCTTATGTCTACTTCATGGAATCCATAACTATGAAAATAATTAAATTTATACTGCTTTCTTTTGGCCTGGTTTATTTTTCTTGAAAAAAACTCCCATACACATAAAATTAAATAAAATTTGTTTCTACTTATTTTTAAATTTATAAAAAACAGTCTAATAAACCTTCTAAAAATTATTTATGATTTTTTCGGAATAATTTTTAAAAGAAATTTGTGTACCTAATTAATTTGGTGTAAGTTTAAGGTTAAACTTAATTTATGTGAGAAAATGTTTGCCAAGGTTTTATTGATATTGTTCGATTTGAATGTGATACATTTTGTTTTGCCAAATTAATAATGCAATTTTGTCAAAAAATTGTATAACATAAAAATGTAAACTAAAATAGAAATCTTGGGATAATGAGCAATGGAAATTATAATTATAACGTCGGCTTAATACCTATAGGTATAGGTATAGGTATAGGTATAGGTATACTTAATGGTTATAATTAATTATCCACTATCCCAAGATTACTAATTAAGTTTACAATTTTTGAACGGGAAAGAACAAATAATAATAGGTGATGGATTAAAAAATAATACTAGGTCCTTGAGTAAAACACACCAACTAGTGGCGCGTAATTTTGCCAATGATTTAAAAGTTTAAAAGTTTGATAAGTAGTGATAAATACTCGAATTAGCAGTGACTTATTATCAGTGTAATTATCAATAATTAATTAAAATGGCAAGTGTATGCACTAAATGTACGCAGAATATCAACACAAAATCGCCGGGTTTACAGTGCGGTTTTTGCTCAAGTTTTTTTCATGCGAAATGTGTATCAATAAATAAGGAACAGCTGGCTACGTTTCTTGACGTACAGGGGTCAATCTATAAGTGCGAAAACTGTCGATTAAAAAACGTAGGATGTGCAACTTGTTCCACAATGATGGATGCTATTAATAATCTTCAGGCTACAATAAAATCTCTTCAGTCTGAAATACAGACAATGAAACGTAAGGATTCCGAGTCGATGGAAGCTGTAATCCAGGAGATAGCGGATCGTCAAAAACGACAAAATAACCTTATATTTTACAATGTCCCTGAACAACAAGGAGGAAACACTGCTGGTAGACGTGCTACAGATTCAGAGAATATTGTAGATATTCTGAGAAAAATTGTTCCCGATATTCCCATAGAGAACTTTAAAACTAACAGGCTAGGAAAATCCTCTGGAGATAAAACTGCTCCAATAAAAGTGGAATTTTCCTCAAAAGAAATTGTATTTACAGTTCTAAAAAACAAATACAAACTTAAGCAAAACGACAGCCCTATACAAATCAGCACGGATAAAACGACTTTGGAAAGGCAACACTTCAAAGCGATTATTCAAGAACTAAAACAGCGCCAAGAAAACGGGGAAGATGACTTATTTATAAAATATATAAATGGTCATCCAACTATATCAAAATCAAAAAAGTAAATATTAAAATAGGACATGCCAATCTAAGATCTTTAAATAATTGTTTCGATGTTTTTAAAGACATTATACTTGAAAATAATATTTCTATAATTGGTGTATCCGAAACATGGCTGCATAAAGATATTCCATCTCAGTTTATTTCAATCCCTAAATTTAATGTAGCTAGACTTGACCGCGATGGTCGAGGCGGAGGAGTTGCATGCTACCTGAGCGCTACTTACAAATATACTCCTTATCATTCTTCAACGAATCAGGAAAACATAGAACAATTATGGTTAATGCTAAACTTTAATAAACAAAAACTTGCCTTGGGAGTTATTTATCGACCACCCAGTAAAAGTGTAGAGTTATGTTTAAGTGAATTACAAGTTGTGCTAGAGCGCGCTTATGTGGAAGCGGATTCTATTATTTTAATTGGCGATATAAACATTAATCTTTTAAATATAGCAAATAGTGATACAAAAAGGTTTTTTAACCTGTTGGATAGTTTTGATTTGCGCCAAACGGTCGATGCTCCTACCAGAATAACACAAACCAGTGAGTCTTTAATAGATATAATTTGCGTGTCAAAAAATTTGTTTGTTGATAAAAATCAGACTATCGATATGCAGGGAATTTCTGATCACATGCTAACTACCTGTGAAATACGGACAGAAACAGTAGCGGTAAGTTGTGAAACAATTTATTATAGACCTTTAAATAATATCGATTTGAATAGCTTTGCACTTGATGCAATTTATAATGTACCTTGGGACAACATTAATAGCTATGAAGGTTTAAATAAAATTGAGATTTTAAACGGATTAATAATTGATTTATTTGACAGTCATGCCCCATTGCGTAGTTTTTCGACAAAACATAAATACCGCCCTTATATAACTTACAATATCAAATTAATGATAAAAGAAAAAAATAAAGCACACAAAAAATATTTAAAAAGCAAAACAGCAGAAAATAGATGCTACTACGTGGAGTTGAGAAACTATGTAAATGGTGCAATTGATCGTGAACGTAAAGCATATATGCAGTTTGTCATATCACGGAATAAAAACAACCAGAAACAGCTTTGGAAAAATCTTACAAAATGGGGTGTGTGTACCAAGTCCAAATTCAGTAACAACTATTTGCCGGATAATTTATGTAAGCCCGAAGACATTAATGAATATTTCTTAAATGTTGCAGGACAGTCAGATATAGATAAAAATATATTAAGGTTCTATGAAAATAATTTATTAAACAACAATAAATTCAGGTTTAAAGAAATAAACAACAATGACATCCTAAAAGCTGTTAAATCCATTAAATCTCAAGCTATAGGTGAGGACAACATAGGCATTAGTATGATTAAATTAGTCTTACCTTATTGCTTAGATTTTGTTAACAAAATACTTAACGAATCCCTGAGCAAGGGCGTATTTCCAGATATCTGGAAAATTTCAAATATTATGCCTCTACCAAAAGTTGCAAATCCAAAAACATTTAATGAACTTCGCCCTATTAGTATCTTGCCAGCATTTTCAAAAATTTTGGAAAAAATTGTTGCTCTTCAAATTAAAGAATTTTTAGAACACAACTCTATTTTACCTGAACAACAATCTGGATTTAGGCAAGGACATGGTACACACACGGCTCTACTTAAAGTCACTAATGACTTGATTCAAAACTACGATAAGTCACGATTATCCTTTTTAGTTATGTTAGATCAAAGCAAGGCTTTTGATCTGGTTAATTTTAAATTATTATTGGCCAAATTAAAATATTTAGGGTTGGACTTATCGGCGTTGGAGTGGTTCCAGAGTTATTTGGTAGGTCGGAGTCAAAAAGTAGTAATTAAAAACAATACTATAACTTCCTCGTCTTTAAAAAATACAACTTCCGGTGTTCCACAAGGTAGTATTTTGGGCCCCTTGCTGTTTTTAATTTATGTTTTTGATATGACGGACTGCATTTCCAATTGCTCAATTCATCTGTATGCAGATGACGTACAATTATATTATTCCTTTGACAACTCAAATATTCACAACGCTATTGATGTAGTCAATAAAGATATTGAAAATATTTCCAGATATTCAAAAATGCATGGTCTACGTTTAAACCCTAGCAAAACGGTGGCCCTTTGCATAGGAAGAGAGCATCAAAATATGTCTATTAAAGCAAATTTTGGTTTGTTAATAGAAGGTGAAAATATTCCTTGGGTGGAAAAGACAAAAAACCTGGGGGTGATAATGGATGATTGTCTATCTTTTTCTTTTCATGTAGATTATATTTTTAAATGCTGCATGGTAAAATTAAAAACCTTGTATAAATTTAAGTATATATTTGACAAAAGCACCAAACTTCAACTTATTAAAACCCAAATTTTTCCACATATTGACTATTGTTGTTCAGTATTCTATTTTTGTTTACCACAATATAACCGACAACGATTACAGCGAATACAAAATGCTTGCATTCGTTTTGTTAGCAATATTTCATATAGAGAACATATTTCCCCATATATAGTAGAATTAAACGAATTAAGGGTGGAAAACAGAATATGCTATTTAACAACAATATTTCTTTATAAATTAATAAAAAATAAAAATCCTCTGTACTTATACCGTCTGTTAACACGCCGATCTGACATACATGAGATAAATACTAGAACTAACTCTTTTAATATTCCAAATCATAACTGTATTAAATTCGAGGGGTCATTTGTGTTTGTCGCGTCAAAACTATTGAACAGGGTTCTTTTGAACATTAAATTGGGTGAAAAGAGCTTTTTAATTTTTACTAAAAATTTTTATTTAAATCTACAATAGGTCCTTGTTTATTTTAAATGCTAATAGTTTAATAATTTTCCTTTTGTTGGTACAATTTATTCTCGTATATCTTTAATTTCTTTATATTTAGTATTGTATAGGTACTTTCTCTTTATATTTAATTTTCTAAAAAACTCAATTTTGTTCAACTTACGCTGTACATGTTTATTCTATAGTTAAATAATACTATTAAAAGTTTTGTAATTGATAACTATTATAATTTCGGAGACGGTGGAAGAAAGGGAAACCTAACCGTCCTCCATTTGTATGTAACATTTGTTTATGTACAATAAAGAATATTATTATTATTATTATTATTATAAACGGAATTTTATTCATAATTTTTAAGTAGCCACAAGCGTAGATATGTTAGACGGTTCTAACCTAACTTTCTAAAGATCATTAGAGTCGCTTTATTTAGACGCTTATTTGATATTTGAGAAATTGCATTACGTGCCTGTGATTAAGAAGCTTCAAAGCCACTGTTGCTAGCCCGTGACTAAAACGCCATAAAATTAAAGATTGTTAATGTGTATTTTAAAGACCATGGAAACATAATACATAGTAAAAAATATTTGGTAATTTTAACCAAATATTAACCAGATTTTATGTTAATCGAGGTCCACATAACTTATGTTAAGTTTACAACCAACTGTAATCTGTTAACTAATTAAATAGGTAGTTCGTGATTATAAAAAACATTTTGTAGATTTAATAACAATATCCAATAATTGAACCTAAATTGGGAACTTAAATAAAAAGAATGTTGATAAAAAATGTTGCTTTATTAATCAATTTCCTAAACAAAAAAATTAACACATAAATAAACACAAAAATAACATACACACAATTAAATAAACCATTATAAATTTATCAAATTTTGTACAATATAATTATCAGTACTACTACAACACTTAGGGCCGGTTTATCAATGTCCGGTTAAAGTTGCAGTTAGTTATCTGGCAGATAATCTCCATGGATACCATTGTTCTCTCAACGATCGATATGGAATTTATCTGTCAGATAACTGGATCTAAACCGGAGATTGTATTTTGTTACTTTAACCCACTTTACTGTATCCCCTAATGTCAGTTGGAAAACCAGTGATGGCATCTTTTTTCGAATACTTTAAACACTAGTTAAATAATAATAATAATAATAATAATAATAATAATAATAATAATAATAATAATAATAATAATAATAATAATAATAATAATAATAATAATAATAATAATAATAATAATAATAATAATAATAATAATAATAATAATAATAATAATAATGATGTCTTTATTGAAACAAAATATGTAAAAAATACAAAAGGCGAAGTTTGGTTGAACACAAATAATGTGAAATTGCAGTTTTGTTCTTTTATTTGTTTAATCACTTCAAATATTTGGTTATTTGAAATGTAGAAGGCATAATAAACAATATAAATAGAACAACAATAGCAACAAATTATATAAGCTTCAGTAGCTCAGTGAGAAAACTAGCACGCTCAATTACACCATTGATTAAGGTGTCAACGATTACACTATTCAAATCCTGCATCAGACCGGAAATCACCTGTGGTTGCCCGGTATGGTGCAGTGCATCTAACACCCAATACATAGCTTTGCAGCGACTGCAAAATAAAGCGCTTCGGCACATCACCAACTCGGACAGATACACCCCCATTGACGACATGCACGAAACAGCAAGCCTGCCTTATCTAAAAATGGATCAGGCAAACAAATTTTACACCAAGAAACTATACCGTAGTCATCACCATTCGCTAACGGCAAGGGCGCGATCAGTATTCCGAGTGCAGTTGATGGTAGTGGAACTATGCATGCTATTTTAATTAAGGACCATGGTTTTTAAATTAAAATTCAGTGGTCTGGTAAAGTGGTGCAATGTGACAGTGGATCCAACTTATGTTTGTGATAAAACATGTTTTTTTACCTATTATTTTTAAGTAAAATATGAAATTTAGTAATATTTTAAGTTTTTTGAGCTAGTGAAAAATCATATTTAATTTATATACCTATATAAGCTAAATATGGTTTTTCCCAAACTGAAAAAAAAAAAAAAATATATATATATATATATATATATATATATATATATATATATTACTACTATATATATTATATATATTACTACTTTTTATTCAATTAAAAAAATTATTAACACTTCTTGGGTATAAGAATACTTACACCTAAGTAGTGTTAATGATTTTTTTTTAATTGTATGCCAAAGCCTATTTGTATTCCTATCTAATAGTTTGTATGTAATATAAAATATACTTTATTTTACATTACATGCTGTGTTTAATATTAAAACACATTTTTAACACCTCGGCCATTCCACGCGTAACGGATGGGACAAGTTTTTTATTTGGAAAAAGTAGGTATCGTGGTTGTATGTTTAATTCTTTAAAAATAATTTTTTTTTCAAAAACAGTACTAGTAGTGTTTTTGAATAAAAAAATAGTTCTTAAGGAATTAAACGGTCAACCACGATACCTAATTTTGCCAAATAAAAACCTTCTTAAACAGCTTTTGTTTAGGACTATTTATAAAAATTTGACATTAGTAATATAATAGAACAATGTTATTTTGTAAATAAAAACTTGCAACTGTCCCATCCGTTACACGTGGAATGGCCGATCTAAACGTAACACCTACCTGTGTAGTAAATTACACCAAATTGAGCATTTTCTACTCTTGAATGGAGTTCTTTTACCAATATACCCCTAAGAGTGTATTATATTTGATGATTTTTACACTGTTACGAATTTTTTGTACGAATAGTACGTGTAGATTATTAACCAATTAAAAAGGGTAAAATTTACCAAATTGTATGTGGTTAGATATACCATTTCTAGTGTGGACCTATATAGACCCCTTTTGGTGTTGTTTTTTACCAGAAATTTTATACTGTGTATATAACTTCCATAAACTCTATTGGCACTGTAGAACAGTACAACTTGATATTTTTATGTAATTATTAATGACGAAATAAATGTATTTGATTTGATTTGATATTTCGCGACCCCCCGGTGCATCACTGACACCGCGGTAGCTTAACCTTTAGAACAATACGCGAAGAGGGCTAATTGAGGGCTTTAGGGTTCTCGACTTTCAGGATTATCTCCAACCAAACTTTTAACATCCCATTCAAATCCAACCGTAGTACTAAACCCATGGTGCAGCAGGTCTTTCTCTTCACTCTATCTCTATTTTTTTTTGTTTTTTGAAATATTTTCCATCCGAAACATTCTTTTAAACTCATCACTCTTCAATATTTCTATTAATTCCATTTTCAAGACTTTTTCTTTCTACCCGGATCAAGCTGGCCTCACATTCGCTCTTAGAGAAAAGCCAGAACTGCTTCATGACTATTAAAAGGAGCCCTGTACACTAAAACACTAAAATATGATTCCTTTTTAAAATAATTATAAACCTGGTTTTCTATAAAAGATTATGTTAAAATTTTACAAATTTAAATTAACAAACTACAAACTCATGTTAACAAATCTGATTTTTATACCAGTGTATGTATTATACGATGTGTTTTTAAGGTGGGAGTAGAATACTGTCGTTTGAGACCTCTCTTATCTGATCAACAAAATAAAAAACAATATTTTTATATTAATTTATTGTTTTAGATTCCGTTTCGGGCAGTATACTGGGTTTATCTGACATAACAGATAATAAGGCGATATGGAAAATGCTGGTGGCTGAATTTTTGGGGACCTTAATTTTGGTCTACGTCGGTTGTGGCTCTTGTGTCACGGTCGGTACCGCTCCTACATACGTACAGATCGCATTGACATTTGGTTTGACGGTGGCTTCCTTGGTACAGGTAAGTCATCTAAAGTATTAGAAAATAAGTTAAATTAAGAATATGTAATATGTACAGAGTTGGGATTAGTCACTAATATTTTCAATCGATTGACGAATCAAACTAAAAAATTAGTGATTATTTTAGTTATGACTAAATCAATCACGATTAAAAATTTAGTTTTAGTCGCAACTAAAATCAAGTAATCATTAGTTATTTGTTTCAGTTTGATTGAAATTTTTAATTAAAAAGGTATATTTCGTATTTGTAAGCGAGGTTATAAAAAATTATGAAAACTGTCTTTGTAAAATACAATACGCCTATGCCGTCATAGAACGAATGTTTTCCCATGCAACAAAATCACACAAACTATCCGATGAGATTTTTGAGAAAAGAGTAGTCATGAAAAATAATTTAAATATAATTATACAGGGTGGTCCAGGTTATAGTAGCAATAATTCACCATTCGATAGTCCATCGAAAAATAAGTCGACATGCATGGTAATTTTTTTCTCCAAAACCCCTCCTCAGGAAATAAAAGCGTTTTTGATCAAATTTAGTAAAAGTACTTATGAAATAGGTACTCGTTACCTGACGTAAGTAACTTTTGTCAAAATTGTCCAGTGACGTAGATACAGGGGGGTTGTTTCACTTTTTCCACCCCATTTTTTACGCCACTGGATATTGGTTTAAATTGACCTATTTTTCTAATTCCTTGTTCAATTTTGAGAAAAAATGCCACTCTTGTCAAATTTTGATTTAAGGCTTTGTTTACGAGATAATTGAGTTTAAAAAAAAAACATACAGTCCTGCAAAGTTCAGTTTTAAATATCTTTTTTTTGTCATAACTCTAACTCTAAGATCGCTAAAGCGTTTTTCACCAACTTTGATACAAGTACTTATGAAGTAGATACTCGTTACTTGACCCAAGTAACTTTTGTCAAAATTGTCCATTGGCGTACATACAGGGGTTGTTTCACTTTTTCCGCCCAGGATTTCACTGAAAAATAACTCGACATGCATTGTTTTATTTTCTTCAAAACTTCCTCACTGAGGAATCCTCAGAAAAGACATAAAGCCCTTCACACCTGTGCCCACAAGGAAAGAGCTTCTACAAATAATCCAGAATGCGTGTGCAGAAATTAATCGCTGCTATTAAGCTTAAACCAGAACATCATTAGACGTAGCAATTGTGCATAAAGCAGAACGGTTCGAATTTTGAACAATTGTTAAATTAATTTATTTGTAAATGTTAGATAAGTTTGAAATCGTTATTAAAATGTTATTATGATTTATTTAGTACGTATCGTTTTTTATTATCATAATCAATAATTATCACATTAATCCGTTTCTAAAAGTAGTATGCCACTTGATAATTTTAACTAAAAATACGTCAAGTGTTAATTACCTATTTTAAATAGCAAATTTAATCAAATATTCTTATACGAAAAGATAAATCTTAAAATTGAATTTTGAAGGGCTTTATGTCTTTTCTGAGGAAGTTTTGAAGAAAATAAAGCAATGCATGTCGAGTTATTTTTTAGTGAAATCCTGGGAAAAAGTGAAACAACCCCTGTATGTACGCCAATGGACAATTTTGACAAAAGTTACTTGGGTCAAGTAACGAGTATCTACTTCATAAGTACTTGTATCAAAGTTGGTGAAAAACGCTTTAGCGATCTTAGAGTTAGAGTTATGACAAAAAAAAGATATTTAAAACTGAATTTGCAGGACTGTATGTTTTTTTTAAACTCAATTATCTCGTAAACAAAGCCTTAAATGAAAATTTGACAAGAGTGGCTTTTTTTCTCTAAATTGAACAAGGAATTAGAAAAATAGGTCAATTTAAACCAATATCCAGTGGCGTAAAAAATGGGGTGGAAAAAGTGAAACAACCCCCCCTGCATCTACGTCACTGGACAATTTTGACAAAAGTTACTTACGTCAGGTAACGAGTACCTATTTCATAAGTACTTTTACTAAATTTGGTCAAAAACGCTTTTATTTCCTGAGAGTTATGACAAAAAAAAGATTTTTAAAACTCAACTTTGAAGGGCTGTATCTCCCTTAGGAGGGGTTTTGGAGAAAAAAATTACCATGCATGTCGACTTATTTTTCGATGGACTATCGAATGGTAAATTATTGCTACTATAACCTGGACCACCCTGTATATAAATTATAATTATAATTAATCGGAAACATTGACGTACCTAACCAAGAAAAAATTATCTGTTTAATTATATGTTAATAAATAAAAAAAATAGCATAAGTAAATAAAAGATTATTTATATAAACATACAGAGTGTCCCAGAATATGTGGGCAATCTTCCGGATTCAAATAGAACACATAAAAATAAAATAATCTCATATTTTTTTCCTACGCTCCCCTCTACGGAGATACGGTCCCATACGGACACCCCTGGAAATCGTTTTTTTTTTTTGTGGAATTGAATAATTTTTAAATATATTGTTTACTAGTAAAGTTTCCTTAAAATGGACACTTTTAATTACATTTGGCTTATTTAGTTTGCCAGGGACGGACTAGCTCTAACAAAGCAATAATATTTTTTTTAACACCCTGTACTATAAAGGCACATCAATAATATTTTTAGTCAGCTTAAACCTTAAAGTAAAAAAAGGTAATCCTGATCGACAACGATAAAATGTAAAGATCATACGAAAAAAAAATGTTTTTGTACAAGAGGGTTTTTTACATTTATTTTTTTTGTAATGTTTTTTACATTTACCGATTTAAAAATTTGAATGATATCAGTCTCAGTTGAAAATAAAGTGTTTTGAAATTTTCGATCCTTTTATTTTCTTTCCAGGGGCGTCCGTTATGGGCCGGTATCTCCGTAGGGGGGCCGTAGGAAAAATGTATAGGAACTTGTCATATTATTTTTATGTGTTATATCTAAATCCAGGAGATTGCCCACATATTCTGAAACACTCTGTATAGGACTTTTTTTTGCACACTATGTATAAATGTATAAACCATTTGTATAATTTAATTAATCGTTTACTTTGCGTTTTCCACGACATTACTATTTCAATCTTTTACATGACTAAAACTAATTCAATCGTCAATCGTTAGTTAAACTAATTTCGTTAGTTTTAGTTTTAAATCGTCAATCAAACTAAAATTTTGCCAACACTGTATGTACATTGTACTCTAAAAAGAAGCTTTACGTATGGATCTTTCCATCTCAAATCGACTAAGCAAACAGGGGTAGGTCGTTATTTTCAACGATTTTTTTGTACAGCTTCTCTACCGAAATCGATGAGACCCATATTTTTTCTTTTTGCTTAAATTTGTTTTATTTACCCGTAGGAAATTTTTGAAAAATGGACAGAAACATCGATTTTTCTCTTTTTGAGAGTGACATTTTTTCTTGAAAATGCGATAACTTGGCCAAAAATTTTTCGATCGTTACATTTTTTTAAAATTGTAGGTAAATGATTACTAGATACAAAAAATATATAAAAAATTAAGTGAATTCACAATTTTTTTTAAATTGTTTTTTCTAAAAAAGGCAAAAAAATTGAGGTCAAAATTTTGACATTGCCACATTTTTTTTACTTCATATTTTTTTCGTTTGAAGTTGATAATATGAACAACTTTCACCAAAAGTCGTCGTTTTGGAATTTTTTTAATGAAAATGGCATCATTTTTTTAGTAAATTCGTGGTTTATCGCAAAAATTTTGTATTTTATCTATTGTCATGAAACTGGGGTGACCTTTATAAAGTGTAATTTAGAACTTTTTGACATATTTAACATATTTTTGTCACTTCTGGTTTCACCGGAAGTGCTCTTAAGTAAGTAAATTAAATTATTAAGGATTTTAGAGTAAAATTCTTAATATTTTTGCATGTGTTACTTTTAAAAGATATAAAAAGTATCCCTTTTAATTTTGGTTAAAATAATTAAAAAATATATTATACAAGTAATGAGTCGAATGCACAACAAACTTATAAAAACCCGATTTCAAAGAAATCTAGAACACAGACAATTCCGAAAAATGTTGGTCTATTAACAGATACGATTGAGGCAGTCGCGAAACTCTTTTTGACTGAGGCTCTATCAGGACGGGAAATAAGTATTAAGCCTAAGCAGTCCAGAAACTAATGCGCATGTTAATTATGTTTAGAAATAACAAATTTTATTTGATTTCATATATGAAATCAAATAAAATATATTTCGTTCTTTTATTTATTGCAAGATATTCCCTGCAATGCCCAAACTATTGGGTGGTTAGATATAACTTTTTATAATCGTTTTAAAATATTTGAATGATTTTATTTAGTAGATTTAAAACCAACCTTTGATTCTAACCACCTAAATTATTATTTTTATTTTATTTTATAAAAAGTTTTAGCGTATATTTTCATAGTAAAATAAAATGTTAATATTCACTTACCAGCAAAACAAACTAACGAAATGTCAAATCTGATACTGAGTCAAACCACGTCAAGTGGGACCAGAAAATTTCACGAAATCACCGATTTTGAAAATAATCACATTATTGTGTAGTAGGCATGACTCATATGTCACAGTAAAAAAATTGTTTTAAAATTCGTTTTTTTGGTAATGTTATTAAGGTTGACAATTTTGTCAAACTTTAGAGCACGGTAAAATTAAAAAAATAGAATCTCTGGGACCACTCTGTATAATTGAATTAAATTTTACACACTATTGTAGAAATGTTTAGAGTATATAATGATCATTTAATTAAGGTTAATTTGTTTAAATAAAAGAATTTTGCATACATTTATTATAAACAATTGAAATTTTGTATGTGTTCTTCACGCTGAAAAAAAATTAATCTTGTGTCATAATATGCGGCAAACGTTTCCGTTTAATAAGATGTATTCAAAAATTTGCCTTTCATATGTCATTCCGGAGATATTAATTTTTTTGTACCGCTGTGAGCTTGATCAGTACGCGGCGCGACAATTAATAACATTACCAAAAAAACGAATTTTAAAACAATTTTTTTACTGTGACATATGAGTCATGCCTACTACACAATAATGTGATTATTTTCAAAATCGGTGATTTCGTGAAATTTTCTGGTCCCACTTGACGTGGTTTGACTCAGAAGTACTTCTTTTAAAGTTTTCAAAGATTTTTTAATTTATTTACTTCTATACACACTTTAAAACCTAATAAACATACAAATTTAATTAAAAGTGATATTATTAAAAATTTTGGTAATTAATATTTGGTATCAAATTTTAAAAAAGTGTATTTCTTTTATGACCAACGAAAAAAAAATAGTTTTGGCATAAAGTACGGTTTTTCAATTTTTGAAAACTCCCAAAAACCAGCATAGCAAAAAAAGAATAAAATTGGCCCAACATGAGACAGAAAAGCCAATTCAAGGCAGTCTAGATATAGAAATAAAATGTAATCAAAAAATGGTTTGACCTGTCAAAAATTGACAAATAACATATATATATATATGTGTTCAGAATTTTATTTTGAATCAAAATATGTAAAAATGCATAGGGCAAATTGTCAAAAAGTTCTAAATTACATTTTATAAAGGTCACCTTAGTTTCATGACCCTAGATAAAATACCAAATTTTTGCGATGAACCACGAATTTACTAGAAAATGGCATTTTTAATACCAAAACGACTTTTGGTAAAAAGTTGTTCCTATTAATAACTTCAAACGAAAAAAAAACGTAAAAAAAATGTGGCAATGTCAAAAATTTGAATCGAACATTTTCGACCAAGTTATCGCATTTTCAATAAAAAATGTCACTCGTAAAAAAAGAATAATCAATGTTTCTTTCAATTTTTCAAAAATTTCCTATAGGTGAACAAAACAAATTTAGGCAAAAAGAAAAAATACGGGTCTCATCGATTTCGGTACAGAAACTTAAAAAAAATATTCGTTAAAAAATAACGACTTACCCCTTTTTGCCTGATATATTGAGATGGAAAGGCCCATATGTAATTTTCCACAAATTCTTTGCTAATTTAAATAATGTCAACCTCAGCTGACACCGTTTTAAATATATATTATATATATATATATATATATATATATATATATATAATATATATTTAAAAGGGTGTTATAAAAACAATATATATATATATTATATTATATAAAATATTATATATATATATATATTATATTATATATATATATTATATTTTATAAAATATTGGAGGTAATTATACTGTGTGTCTGCGTTGTTCAAAAACTAATAAATCAAATAAAATATATATATATAATAGGTTAGACAAAGTTTTAAATTATTTAAGGCTTACGACTATTTCGCAATCGCGAACACTACATCCTAAAGTGCGTCGAATATCTGCTTTTAACATACTCACTTGGTAAAAAATGGCAAATTTATGAAAACAAAAATTAACAAAAATATGACTAACTATATTGCAATAAGTAGTATTAACGAAACGATTTATTTTAACAACTTTTTTGCAAACTGGTGCGATTATTAATTTGACGATTTTGGTTTAGGATACAAACAAACATATTTCAATGTAAGGTGGTATTCCCAACAGTAACATACCGATAGAAGCGTCTTATCGATAATTCCTCTGTTATTCAGGAGAAAGCGATTTTACAAAAATTTCTACAAAATGATATTTTTATTTATAATCTGATATACGCTACACGGAGAGAAAAATTTTGTTAAAACAACTATCCAAAGTATTGTTAAATTACGTATCGTGAATTTAGTCAACTGTTTTATTAAACTGAGGATTTGTATGGCTAAATCAGCTATACAGATCCTCAGTTTAATAAAACAGTTGACTAAATTCACGATACGTCATTTAACAATACTTTGGATAGTTATTTTGGCAAAATTTTTCTCTCCGTGTAAAGAAGCATCGCTAGTAGCGCTACAACAGTACAGTATAGTATGTTACAACGAGTGTTTTTGAGAATAAGGCCCGAAAATGTTAAAAATATCGAGAGAAAACAAAAACGTGGAACGATTTGTTGTGTCGTTGAGTGTTTTTCCAGAGGAAATCCTGGGTTGAGTTTTTACCGGTTTTCCAATAAACAGTGGAAATCCGAATGAAGAAATAAATTGCATACGGTCCCTGTAAATATAAATTGTACCCATTAAATACTATAAATACACATTTTAGTGATGATTTATGTAGAAATTAGTAATTAGTAAAAATCATAAAACAAATATGTCGTCTAAATGCAAACAGCGTTATGCCGAGGGGTAAACCACTTTAAAATCTTAGAGACTAACGTTTAAGGTTATGTGGACGTTGTGTTGTAATTTTTTCTTTATCAGTCGTTATCAATAAGGAAAACTGCTTATCAATAGGAAATTGACGCATGACCTGGTATTGTTATCCTTAGCCGTTAATTCGTAAGCGATTTTTAATTTTAAAAAAATCAGTTGTTTACCCCTCGCGTTATGCATTATTAAAGCGTTGATTGAGGAAGTCTCCATTTTATATGTATTATAATATTATTTTGTTCCATAAATTCGTAGATATATTTTGTCGTTTTATTTTAAAATGCAGTTGTCGGCGTTTTTTTACACTCAAATATAAAAATGTTTGATTTTAAGGTTATGTTGGTACAAATGTTAGTTTTTGTTAGATTTCTTAAAAATGTCCATTAGGTAATTCTGCACCAACAAATATACGTACCGAATTGGATCCTTTGGCAAAACATGAAAATGCAACGATTTAGTTCTTAAATTACATTTACAATTACAAACACATTAATTTACCATAATCATTTATATAAAATGAGTTTCTTAATCAATGATATAAGGAGTAATAAATCGAAAGAATACTAACCGAATGTTTTTAGTTTACACAAGTAACGTGCACAATTTACCTGTGCAATTGAAACTTTGCGAACAAAATTTGTCGAGTTAGACGTCTGCATTCCTCTCTGGTGTGAAAAAACTACTTATTTATATAAAAATGATGTGCAGTTCGTATGCTTTAAATGTTTTGTTGACAAACCTTGTACTTCTATAATGATATCGAGCGCCACCAGATGGCGCTCATATTGTGAAAACCGGATGCTTCATAGCGTATATCTCCGAGAACTAGCCCGAGGTTTTTTATCTCTGATCATAAATGAAAACTCTACACTAAATAGAGTATAGATATTTTTATGAAAAATCGAGTTTCCTGTGAATAAAATAGAAAATGGCGATTACCTCTAAAACAAATATTTATACTAATATTTTACTTATAAATTGTTTTGGTGATATTCAAGAAGAAGAAAGTTTCAACACGTTATTAGGTACCTACTACTGCAATATAGAGTTATATTTTTGTTAAATTTGCTTTTATTAAGGACTAATTCTGAAAATTATAACTGCAAAATCTTCTAGCTCTGAAATTGACCATTTTTAGAGAAAGTGCCAATGGTAATTAACCACCTGCACCCATTTACCATAGGATAAGTGCGGGACCCTTTGCCATTTTTTGTAATTTTAGTAAATATTTTACTCAATAAATATTTTCTCTAAATACTGCTTAAGCTTAAAAATAAACCTGGCAATTTTCATTCAACCTTGTACAAATAAATAAAGAAATAAATTGCAGAAATAAATAAATAAATAAATTCCACTCTTTCTTTAAACTTCTGAAATTATTAACAACTGCGCTTTGATGCAAATTATCGGAAATATTTAAGCACTAGAGGTATTTCCCAATAATTACCTTTCTTGTGGGCATTTAAATTTACTAACAAAATATATCAAATAAATTGAAAGCAACAAGATGTTTACCGAAAAAATTTGATCCCTTTATTTCTATTACAAAAATTAATTTCTAAAAAAGCGCATAGGTATATAACGGTTATATCATAACCCACTCCACTACATACAAAATATTACAAATTATTATTTAGTTTAACTGTTGAGTAAAAAGTTGTTAAACAATGGTTTAACAATATTACAAACACTGACAAACTACCTAATAATATGGGAAACTTATTAAAAAAATCTGATTTTAAATCATTTTATGCATTTTTATCTTATCATTATTTTATGTAGGCTGTTGCACCAATAATGTTAAAATCCTACCTACTAACGCAAAATATTTAAAACTTATATAATATTTTTAATCATTAGGGTAATTTGATTTAAATTGTGTAAATCAAACTAATAATATGAGAAACTTATTAAAAAAATCTGATTTTATATCATTTTATGCATTTTTATCTTATCATTATTTTATGTAGGCTGTTGCACCAATAATGTTAAAATCCTACCTACTAACGCAAAATATTTAAAACTTATATAATATTTTTAATCATTAGGGTAATTTGATTTAAATTGAGTAAATCAAATTGATGTAAAACTAAATATTAGTCCAGCAAGATTATGTATACATATATACATATATGATAACTTTTTAATTTTTATTAAACGAGTTTACAAAACGTAACTCTAATGTTGATCTAACTAGCTACAAATATAACCAGCATGAATCTCATAACTTACACGATTAAAAGCATCATATTTGTGTCTTTTCTTATAGCATTTCATGAAATCATTGGTTGTGACGCTGTAAGTATGTAAATTAAGTAATTATACAATTTTATATGTTTTTTTAAGGAAAATAATTATTACTTTAGACATGAGTATGCAAAACTAGTGGGTGAAAACAAATCTGTTTTAAACCTGACATATTTTTCGTTTTATAAGTTTAATAGAACAACTGGAGCCCTAAATATTTCATTGCTTTTGGCTGAAGATGTAACAATTAAAAATGACGTATCGGTAAAAACTAGTTTTTTAATTTATGTTTTATACCTTACATAATATTTTAGATAGCTTTTGATGCATATATCTTTTTAAATAACGGTTATAGAAAAAGTCCAATTAATTTTAAAACCAACGTTTGCGAGATTTTAAAATCTGGATTATATGATGCTTCTAGAATATTTCAAGACTCGGATATAAAACAATGTCCAGTAAAAAAAGTAATAAGGAACACCTGAAAATTATAACAACCTATACAATACATTATTTTAGAATGTTCAACATTATTTAAATAATATTTCACCTACTACCGAAGGATGGCCCAAATTTTTACCCCCAGGAAAATATAAGGCAAATATTGTTTTAAGCCACAAAAATAAGTTTGGTGCCAAATTTGAATGGATTGTTAGTATTATTAAAAAATAATGCATTGGAAGTTTTTGGTGTTTAAACTACCAACAATATTTCTAAAAATGTAATGTACAATTTCAACCTTAAAAATTAAATTAATAATTAAAAATGCCTAAACTATATAAATATATTTTGAACGATTTAACAATTTAAACAAAAATATGTCCATCTGTAAAAGTTCTTTTTAAAAACATATGACGTATTCTTAGACCAAAATAAGTTTATTTATATATACCCGCGTATATAAATATAACCGCTGTCCATTTAAAAACGATATCAAAATTTTTTCTTAATTGTTTCTAGCATATGTGATACCCAGAGCTGGGCGGTACTTAAGTACAAGTACTTGAAAAAGTACTTAGAGTACATTTTAGGGTACTTTGTACTTGATACTTAAGTACTTCTTTGTATATGTACTTGGTACTTGTACTTGTAACATTCTGCTAAGAGTACTCAGTACTTGGGACTAAAATATAAGTACATTTTTACAAGTACTTTATACAAGTTGAGACCTGTCTGCGCCTCCAGCTAAGTACGTAAAAGGTTTTCCGCGCCACAAATTGTGGCCCACAATACGAGTTGTTTATGAGTATGCTCGTATGGTCAATCAAAATACTTAATAAAATTTATAAATAAATATATATATATATATATATATATACATGCACGGCTATCAATACGAAGCCCGGTGCATTACACTGGCTAGTCGAAGCCTGGTAATGCGGGACGGGGCGGTTAACTGTTCGTTGGTGCATAAACAACAAGAGACCCACTCCGCTGTGTATCAGAAGCCCTGCGGTGTTGCCAATGTCTAAATTTATAATTATAGGCAAATTTGATTTAAAATACCTAGACTATACCTAAACTTAACCTATATTTTTAAATAATGACGTTGGTATACTTAAATATTTAATAATATTGTTGAATTATAATTATTATAATAAAAATTATTATAATTTTAATTATTATTAAATTAATTATAAGTCATTATTTAAAAATATTGTCTAAATTTATAATTATAGGCAAATTTGATTTAAAAGACCTAGACCAGAGTGGAGCATCCGTGGAAAACCGGCTATATCCATTTTAATAAGTTGGGAAAATTTAGGAAAACTAAACCAAATTAAAAGTTGAAAAATTAAAAAAAGAAGTGGGGAAAATTGCTATTTAGTTTAGCATCCTATAAACAAGAAAAATATATTACCAAGCAAATATTGTTTTATAGCTACATTATAAAGTTAAAGCTGCCTTTTATCCAATAAAAATCGTAGATAAAATATTACTTTAACCAAAACGGTTGATAAAATAATATTGTAATGGTACCAGCGAGTCTTGTCTTGTTGACATGTACTCTTAAAATACAATTATAAAGTACTGAGTACTGTACTTGCAGTACTGTACTTAAAATACTTTGAAATTTGTATAGTACTTGGTACTTTGTACTTCTTCAGGAATTATACAAAGTACTTTGTACTCGGTACTTAAGTACATTTTACTTGTACTTGGCCCAGCTGATACCCCATTGAATAGCTCTTAAAAATTGCTATTTTACAGTACTAAATAAAATACGTAAAAACATTAGTTAAAAACTGGAAAATACTAAATAATTCCAAAAAAGTATAATAAACTAAAAAAGTATAAATTAAATGCTTAAAATAACTCCTATTATTTTGTAAGCAATAGTACAGTCTATTCTAAAATTCCCTTGGAACATTTTAAAATGTTTGCCGTGCAATAGGTCGTAGCTTTGTTGTCGGAGATCTTCAATAGAATTTGAACCCATAATAAAAAGTCTACTGTTGTCAGATATAGAGATTTGAGACCCCATTTTAATGGTCCTTTTCTACCAATCCACCTATCTGAATAATTTTAGTTCAACCAAGCCCTAACAGCTACTTCTTAATGAGGTGGTGCCACATCTTGTTGAAAATGTAATACATTTTCGTCCAAAGCTAGTTCATCATCCTCTCCTCTTTGATTTTCTACACTGAAAGAAATTTATGTTTCATATATGGACTACCACATACATTGCTAAAACAAACATATAATATATTTACCTTAACCATTTTTATATTTAGTTTTAACATATTATGTTAAAACTAAATATAATATATGTTTGTTTTAGCAATGTATGTGGTAGTCCATATATGAACCACAAACATTGCTAAAACAAACATATATTTCTTTCAGTGTAGTTCATTTATTATTACTGGTTGTATTGTACCAACTTACATTTCAAAATAAATTTTATAATTAAATTTTTGGTCAATAAATAGGGGACCAATAATACAATCTCCCGAAATTCCTGATCAGGATACTGGGTATGATTTCCTCTGAGGAGTTGAGTATTTCCACTGCTCCAATAACGACAATCTATGTTTTTTAACATTTCCATATACACAAAAAGTACACTCATCGCTGAAGCAAGTGTTTTTTAGTATTTGGATCTGATTTGTTATTTTATTGGCCATGATTTTACAAATTTCTGAACGCCTGTCTGCATCATCATCGCCAATTTCTTGTGTAATATACATTTTGAATGGGTGTAATTTGTAATGTTTCAAACCTTCCTAACTAGATGCCGAATTTTGTAGGATCTACACCAAATTGACCAAGATATGCAAAATATTATTTTACTAGTATGCTGTTTAAAGTAGCCAACCTATAAATTTTGGGTGGGGTAAAGTACCTCATTACAGCACCGAAAGCGGTATTACAATGAAGTCATTATCAACGCAAAATAGATAAAATATAATTTATCAACCTGTGGGAATATAATTTATCGACCTCTAAATATTTCTTGGTAACTTTTCTAGTAAAACATATAATTCATCTTCGGCGTTTATAAAAAAAATACCACATGAGAAAATGTGGGTATACTATAGTATACAGTTTTATATATAATTTGATTTTTGGTTTTTTCAGAATTTTTAAGGAGGGAAATTAACATACATCGCAATTTTAAATTATTTTTGTACTTAATTTGGGAAACCTTTTTATTGGCTAACAAAGCAAGGGTAAACTTATTTTGTTCCAAGGATTATGTAAGAGTTTTTTTAGTATTGACCCTTTTTTTCAAAGATTATTACTAAAAGCTTTCTCCACCTGGTCCATATTGTGGTATTTATTACAGAATAACAATTCTTTTTAGTATATTTTCAATTTTCTTGTAGATCGCATAAAAACTTTTTTATTTTTGTAGGTTGATATATATCTATATATTCATATACAGCCGTAATACAATATTGCGTCATTACATTTCGCGACCTTATTATATAAAATGCCGCGCCGAATTCGAGGCAGAAAAAAAGTGGAACGTTCTCTATAAAAATGAATTAGTCAAAAATAACTAATTTAATAGTTAATAGTGGCTGCTTTTTCACTTGTGCCATGGTTAACCATCGAATACCATGGTATCCCAAAATTTAATAGCCAATTCTTATGTAAAATTTTACCCTGAATCTGAAAATGTCTTCAAAAGTTAAAAAAGTAGAACAGTTTTTGAGATATAGTAAATTTTCCATTAAATATGGAATTGACTATATCTCAAAAACTGCTCCACTTTCATAACTTTTGACGGTATTTTCAGATTCGGAGTACAATTTTACATAAGAATTGGCTATTAAATTTTGGGATACCATGGTAGTTGATGGTTAACCATGGCACAAGTGAAAAAGCAGCCACTATTAACTATTAAATTAGTTATTTTTGACTAATTCATTTTTAGAGAGTTCCGTTGGCACTTACTGAACTCCCTAAAAATGCTGTCTGTTTTAGATTAAATGTAAATGTTTTCCCTAGTTAATAATAAAATTTAAATGTTTAATAAAATAATGCAAATTTGATACATTTGTATACCTGTATTTCCGAAAACAGCTTACTCTCGGAGTTTTTATGACGTTGTTTTTCATGGTATGCTTTATCATTAATATGCCGAGGAGCATCCTTTGAAGGTCAATATTTCTATTAATATAAAATAAAATAAAGCCTTATGCGTAGGTACTACGAAATGGTAAACAAAAAGATCAAGATAGTAGTTAAGAACAAAAATGCATATTATATTATGCGTCATTTAACAAAAAACAAAATTCCTCATGTGTAATAAAAAATGCAAATAATACGTTGGGAATAATACGTTTGTTTTTTTTATAACAATCACATTTTTTAAACTTAATTTTTCTACTATCTTGAAGGTTTTTTAATAAACATAAGATATAGTAACTTTAAATTTACTTTAATTGTTATAACCTATGTATGGGTTTTCAATTATTATTGTTATATAATAAAGTGCGATTATGTAATCAAGCTTATTTGGTGCCTATCTATAATAAACTATTCAGCGAGTTGGAAATAGTTTTTCTATCGTCGGAACTTTATGATTCATGAAAGCGTGACATGAAAATTATAATTATTTCAAGAGATTACCCGATAAAATTGCGTCTAATCTTCTTAAAACAAAAATGAAACATTAATGACTTAATTTACTTTTGAAGTTAAATATAGTATGTAGGTATATTTTCAATGTTATTATTAAAATAAATAAAGCAACATTTTTAATGTAAAGAGATTAAAAAGAAATGCTTGTTGAAGATTTAATTGTTTGTCACATTTAATTGAATTTAAATTTATGTTACTTTTACTCTAAACATTGCATCGTAATAAGTAAAACTTGTTTGATATGGCTTTTTAATAGGTATTAATTCAAAAGAAGTTATTCAACAAAATTATGTATCATAACTGCATTATCCAATTAAAAACTATTTTTACTGGAGGTATGAGCCATTTTCGAGGCACCTAGGTCTATGCTCTGGAATCTAGACTATAGACA